CAAAGTCCAAAAAGGGCTTTTTCCAATTCCAATTCCAATTAATCAGTGTCTTTTCTCTAATCAAAGCTGTCTTAGTATGGATATTTTAGTAGCCAAGTTTTTTGAAATCCATATCATGCCTATTCTTGAAAATGATCTATGCCTTTCTGAGAAATAAGTATATTCTGTAGAATTTTTTTGTCTCCATAAGTCCGCTATAGTTAAGTTATCCATCAAGTCAAAAAAAAAAAATCTTTGGTAATTTACCTTGAGTATTTTTAACTTTCTTCTTAGATGTTCTGTCTAACTGTGGAGAGACTATACCATTCCAGTCTCCCATCAAACACCAATTGTCATATGAAAGATTTACCAATTGTTCCATAAGTCCTTTGTAAAAATTTCCTTTATCTTCATTTGAAGCATAAAGTCCCAAAACAAAAGTTTTAAGTCCTTGTAGTTCAATTTCCACCCCCACGAATCTGCCATGTTGATCAATCAATATTCACTGTGGTTTTAAATGGGGGTTAACATATAAAACAACTCCATTAGGTTTTTTTGGTGCTGCCAAAATAAATTCTTCTCCCAAATTTTTACAAATTAAATACTTTGTGTCTTTATTTCTAATATAAGTCTCTTGAAAACAAATTATATCTTGTTTTAATTTTTTCAAATGGTGTAATAATTTTTTCCTTTTTTTTTTGAGGGGAATTTGCCCCATTTATATTCCACATTAGACATTTATAATCCATGGTTAAGCAAATAATTTAGAAAAGCCTATATCAGTAGCACCTAACTCCAAGTCATCTTTTTCAGGCTCCTCTGTCTGTTGTAATTTTTGGTGGGTTTTCTCTGCAATTTCCATTTGAATCTCTTCCAAGTCTCCTTTAAATTTTTCCAAAAATTCTCTAGCCTTTTGAGCAGTATTCAATCGAAATCTTCTATGTTGAAAAGTAAAAGTTACACCTTCTGAGTTCTCCCAGCGGAATGGAATCTTCTGCTTTAATACCTCAATTAGAAAAAGCAACCTTTTCTTTTACGTAAAATTCTAAAATTCTTGAATTAAAATGCTGTTGCAGAACTTGATCTCTTGTCCTTCTCCTTACAAAGTTCACTAAAACATCTCTTGGCACATGTCTTATTGTAGCAAAACATGAATTTATCCAATATACTTTGCTGATCTCCTCTCCAGCCTCATCCCCTTCTCAATCTAAAAAATCTGACAATGTCTGGACCACCTTTCTCCTAGTATCTTCAACTGGAACCTCTGGAATGGCTCTAAATCTCAAACAAAATTTGTTCTGAGTTCCAACAGAGCCAAATTATCCATTCTTCTTTCAAATTCTATATCTCTAATTCTTGATTTATTATCTAAAATTTCCATTCTATCATTAGTTTGCTTTATTTCTCCAGACATTTGTTTCGTACCTGCAGACATTTGTTTTACAAAAATATCCATTTTATCTGATCTTTCTTCCATCTTTTTTTCAAAAATCATTAATTTAGCATCCAATTTAGCATCCAATGACTGAGCCAGTTTAGATCCTAATTCATTAAACACTGATTTAATTAAACTAGAAGAGATTGGCTTATCTTCTCTTTCTTTATCTTCCCTCCCTGATGGCTACTCCGCAGAGGCTCTTCTAACATCCAATCAGGCTCTATGTGTTGCCATTGTAGAAATATCAAAAAAATACAAATATCAAGCTGAAAAGAGAAAGACAAAAAAGAAGGGGAAAAAGAACCAAGCAGAACACTCAAATCCACTAGATTTAAAGCTGTAATTACAAGCAATTGTCAGCAGATGTCACTACTGAAAAAGCTCCGCTAAAAATAGGCTAGGCTGATTACTATGTTCTTTTGATATATGATCCCAGCCAATTATCAGATCAGTTACAATAAAACAAAAAGCATTCCCATAGAAGAACAGAGTCCCATTAAAGCAGTTATAGTTTTAACAATGCAGATTCATGAAAAATTAAACTTTAAAAATTAAAAAAAAAATCTTCCCCTTTCTCCATTGTTAGCTTTCATATATCACTTTAATTATCCCACTTTTTGCAGTTTTCAAAGATTTAATTATTTTAAATCTCCAGATCTTCCCAAAATTCATAGTCCCTCCAAAAAATGAGAAAAATACCAAGAGAAATACTTATCTTCTGTAAAAAGCCTCTCTTAAACAGAAGAATAATTATAATCCAAAAGTGCTATTGAAATTGGGGTTGCCGGTTCCAGTGTCCTTATACAGGCTGTACCTTAGCCACAAACAATGATGTAATCCTCATCTCCCAGCCACTCCAATCATGAGCCGCTCACAAAAACCTCTGTTTTTGTAATTTACTCATGAGGAATGGCCATCCGGAGATCAAATAGGTTGATTTCAGGCTTCCTCCTTTATCCAGAAGAAGAAAACACCCTATGCCCGCCACCGGAAGCATCCCATCCCAATCTGATTTTTTTAACTAACAGCAAATACTTTACCTTTAACATTCTTTCCAAAATCCATTGATGCAGGAATTTCCGAGTCTAGCTGACTTTTGCTATTCACTTTCTCTTTCACAATATCATCATCACCTGAAACATCATCAGAGTGCATCTTCTTCTTCTTCTTCTTGTGTCGAGGTGGGAGCTTTTTGGGAAAAGCAAACATTGGAAGTATAACAAGAAGCATCACACTAGCGCAAAGGAGGAATCCACTCCACCTAAAATCAGAAGATAAGAAATAACATTTACAAATAGGGCTGTATTCATTACATCAAGCAGCAATGGAAGAAACAATAATAGATGTCATTGTATGTAAATACACACACACACACATACGCACACATACTTCTCTTTTGCGGGAGGCAGAAATTTAACCTTGGTGCTATTGTTTGTCCCATAAAACTATTACCATGTAAATGACTGGGAAGAAAACACAAAAGCTGCAGCCAAAACAGACAAACATCATACAGAACGAATTCTATCAAACCAGAGAAGAAAAATGGATAGCTTAACTGAGCAGGAAAATAGCACTCCCAAGTGAAAACAAACCAAATGTAAAAGGGATGCAAAGAGTCATTGAAATAGTTTAACACTGGCAAACATATTAGGATCTTGATTATGTGCTCTCCTTCCCACACAAATATACAATTGCAAATGACATGTTTACCACAATGCAGCTTGGCTGTAACATTAATCTATTCCAGTTGTCCCTAAGCAGGTGCCGTTAGATATGGTACACTACAGCTCACATTAACTCCAACATCATAGCCAACCAATATTATAACAATTGTAATCTCATGCATCTAGAGGGCATCAATTGGAACTGTTCCAAGACTAAATTTTATAAATTCTGCTCACATGGAATTTTCTACAGCCACTGATGGCACTTTCTCCATCATTCTATGGTTTATAATTAATAATTAACTTTGGCTGTTATACTTAACATATGGGTCACAAGATGCTTCCAACTCACTGAGGCTTTTCCTTTAATTCATGCAGTTGATAACAGGCACCTTACCAGCTAATTATTCTGAAGAAAAAGGCTAGTATAATTGTCATACCCTAGATTCTGGCATGAACATACACAGGTAGATGGAAATGGAGATTTCCTATATTTACAGATCATTAATTGCTGCCAAATTCATCATCCGGGATCCTAGTAAACCATATATAGAACAGAACAACATTAATGAGCGTTTGCTACAAAAAGGAAGTTATAGGCTTCATAGTTACTCAGTGCCTCCTGAATGCCTAATTATAGAAGAAAAGGACCCTATTATTTCTATCTGGCAGATATTTGGCATGAATGTTTGGAAAATCTGAGGCCATACTTCTTCAAATTAAGTTCTCAACTATTATTGTCATGATTAAATTGGTATCTCACTTCCCTGTAATTCTTGTATAATTATTACTACTGCTTTGTTGTAGCTGCAGCTGTTGTTAAATCACTTTTCTCCTAAAACAAGCAACATTTTTCAATGTGACCAATTCAAAGAATGGTCTGGCAGTACATGAACTTATGCATTTTTTAATACTAAGTAGATTTTTTATATTTAGCAAGTGGAACAACAACTACAAAAAGCTACAAGAAACAGCAATAACTATTTCAGGGTCAAACTACAGGCAAAACTTTAGTCCTGATTGCATAAAAAAAAAAATATGACTGTATATACAATATGTACTTCCTAGAACTATCCATTCAAAACTATCATTTTTGGACAATACAAAGTGATAGAGGGAACTCAAAAGAAACTGAGGCTGCAATAAGAGGTTTAATGAATGATTCAAAATTTGCTTTACTTGCTGTAGCATAAAGAGGGAAGAAATTAGTTTCTGGCTACATTTTCAGTATTTACTTTAACTCTGTTCTTTGTGCCCAGCATCTGATATTTAAAGGTTCATCTTCTCTAAATCTGATAAATGATTAAATTATCATGGCTAATAACTGTTGATAGACTATTCTCCATGTTTCTTTATAACTGCTGTATAAATTGAGTTTCAATATTGTGCCAATAGTCTTGTAAGAGCATGCAACAAATTAAGAATAATGTATTTTCAAAAATCTGTATAGAGATTATATAAACAAAGCAATCTTCCTATACTGTTGACAAGCTATGCAGGAAACTTGCACACCCAACTTACACACAAACACATGTACATGAAAAAAAACAATGCCAAATGGGGAAGCAATGTGTAAGTTCCATTGGTATTACTGTATTACTTTTTTAGTTTTTTAGAGGGAATATTTCCAAAATATACAAATGGAAAAGCAACAAACAGAATAAGTAAATGGTTGTGAAATTAGCAGGCATTTGAACAACTCATACAGCTGTCTTAGGCTGCAGCTATTCATAATTCAGCACTGCTGAAGACATGATCAAATGTTAAATGTTACTGTTATTCTTGCACATAAAACACACACATGGTTGCAGCTTACCAGTTACCAATGAACCGTGGGTCACTCTGGTCAATATGAACAGTACTTGTAGGATGTACATAAAACCCAATAAGAACTCCTCCTAATAAATATCCTGCTGCAGGACCAAGAGCTCCCATTACATACATGATGGCTGTAAAAGAGGAATGAAAATCCAAAACACATCAAATTATACCATATTACACACCATAAGATTATAGCAGTATGCTCAGTAATGTAACCATTTTCAGTACAAGAGTAGGATACTAAGTGCTTTCCTGAGACTTTGTATATCCAAGCAGCAACTATTTGCTGCTTTTCTGCAATTTCCATCTTTTCCCCACATTCTCTGGGCATCAGAGGAAAAACTTTTGGAAAAGCATGTCCTAGCATGAGCCATGTTAATAAACAGCAGTTAATCGTAAAGCTTCCCTCTTTCTTAAATGAAACAACAGCTCAACTAAATAAAAGAACAACTAAGCATAAGAGCATAATACTAAAAATTGTGCAGTGGGACACTTAAGATTCAAAGACAAGGTGCTCTGGAGAGTAAGGAGGCTGCTTAAATCAACACACCCCATCCTGGGATCATGCTGCAGTTGCGGAGGGCAGATGTCTAACCCAGCAAAAGACACAGCTGCTTTAAGGAGTTGCAGACTCACTCACTCACTCACTCACTCACTCACTCACTCATTCCATTCATTCATTCATTCATTCATTCATTCATTCATTCATTCATTCATTCATTCATTCATTCA